CGGCTACTGCTGTGCGCTATACATGTCCCTCCGAACAAAAGCAACGATCGCACTGTACTATATGTGCATATTCAGTCGATCCATGAGCTGCATAACAGAGGTTCTGACAACGAATGCATGCTGGTCTGCGGTGACTATAATCAACCTGGAGTGTTTTGGAACTGGTCTGACGGCGAAATTCGACCTGTGAACTCTGTGCCATTACCAATTGCTAGCTCCCTACTGATTGATGGCATGGATTTCCTCAATTTGCATTAGATGAATCTCGAGCGCAACCACTTGGGACGCATTCTCGATTTGCTCTTTTGCCCTACGAATTTTGCTATGGAAATCTCAAGATCTGTGTCACCACTTTTGCCTGTAGAATTCATCATCCACCGCTTGTTGTCTGCTTACCATCTCTAATTGTCAACCCAGACAACCAGAATGCACGTATATTCAAAGTTGTTTTCGTGATATACAAACAAACAAGTCGTATAGAATGCAAAGAAATGGCTTATACGTACAAAAGTGGAGGCCATATACGTGCATATTTTTGTTTAATTTTAAACGAGTTGATTTAACATCATATGCAATTTGATCTGTAATAACAAATCCATTTTGAAAAGTCTTACGATGTAATCCGATTAAATTTGTGATACAGTACGACGGAAAAATGAGTCATCGCATATAAGTCGGAAATTTGCATTCTATACGATTTAACTTAAACATAATGCGAGGTATACCATTCTAATATGCGATTTTGACTTAAACTGTAGCAATTTACGATACTGTCTGTACATTGTTATACGACTTCTGGTTGTCTGGGAATGGTGTACAGCTGCATGATGAGAATGACAGTGATGGAATTGCGTTAGACTACAACAAGATTGATTTCGATGCTCTATTGGATTTCCTGTCGAGTATCGACTGGGATATTCTTTTTAATGGAATGAATGCTGATGAAATGGGTGAAACGTTGTGCGTTATGCCAAATGATTGGATGGATGCAAATGTACCGATTCGTCGACCTGCTGTTTTTCCTGCCTGGAGCACTGCATTGCTACGAAAACTAAAACGCAAACGAAATGCTTCGCAACGTAGATTACGGCGATTTCGTACTCTGGCTAATAAACGTAGCTTTCACTTGGCGTGTAACGAGTACCGTAAGCTTAACTCTTCGCTCTACAAATCGTACGTTTTACGTATGCAAACTAACCTCAGACGAAACACCAAGAGCTTTTGGATGTACATAAACTCGAAGAGGAAAATTCTACTATACCCGTAACCATTTTTCTCAATGATGTTGAAACATCGATAAGCGACGAGAAATGTGAGCTCTTTGATGCTCATTTTTCGTCAGTATTTGTTACAGAATCTGTCGACTCGGCTGAACTTGCCTCTGCTATTTCGGATGTTCCTGCGAGTCTTGTAGGCGTAGATACCTTCGAAGTAACGCCCTTAATGGTAACTACCCGTAAAAAAAAAAATCCAATAAAAATACAATGATTTTCATTGTCATTGTAACCATGATATTTACTGCCATAACATTGGACATTTTTGTCCATTACCATAAAATTCCAACGAAATTCAAGGTTCACAACAATGAAAATCATGGTATTTGAGAAATTGACAGTAAAAAAGAGGGGTTGTTAAGCATCTTAACAATATAAAAAAGTGATTTTTCCCGAACAAATTTGATCTCATCACACTAATTTTCGTTGTTTGTGATAATTGTGAGTGGGGTAATTCTTGAACGTATCAAATGTTACATCTCCTGCGACCAACATGGTTTTATGCCAGGACGTTCTGTTACTACAAATCTCCTGGTTTTTACCACGACGTGTTTCGAACAACTGGAGAATGGTGCGCAAGTAGACATCATCTATACGGACCTAAAAGCAGCGTTTGATACGATCAACCATGATATTATGTTGGCTAAGCTATCCAAACTCGGCACATAAAATCGGTTGACATAGTGGTTTTGCTCGTACCTGACTTGCAGGTCTTTGCGGGTTAAACTTGATTCCAGTACTTCCTCGTATTTAACGAACTCGTCGGGCGTACCACAGGGTAGCAATCTTGGCCCGTAGTTGTTTCTTGTTCTTGTTGTTTGCTTGTACTTGGAGATGGTTGCAGGCTTGCTGTATTTCGTGGTGCGATGTACTGAGGATTGTATTCGTCTTCAATCGCTATTGGATCTATTCGTTAGTTGGTGCAATCGGAATAGGCTTACTGTGAGCATACAAAAATGCATGGTAATGTCGTTTTACCGCATCAAGCAGCCGATTATTTTCGATTATGCCATCACCGGTGTTATACTGCAAAGAACCGACCAATTCAGCGATCTAGGCGTTCTACTAGATAATAAATTATCGTTTAACCTCCACCGTACTGCTGTGATCACCAAGGCTAACCGTCAGTTAGGATTCGTGTCGAAAATATCAAAAGACTTCTCTGACCCACACTGCTTGAAAGCTCTTTATTGCTCCCTTGTTCGACCTATCCTGGAAAACGCCTCCTTGGTCTGGTTTCCTCATCAGTTGACCTGGAACTTGAGGATCGAAGGTGTTCAGCGAAAGTTTATCAGAATGGCATTGCGTAACCTACCTTGGCGCGATCCGCAAAATCTCCAGCCGTATTCTGATCGCTGAACATTTGAATCAACAGGCAGCATTTGTTGCCAAGTTATTGAATGGGGATGTTGACTGCGTGAGTCTTCTTTCGCTGTTAGATATCCGAGTGCCGCCAAGAACATTACGAAGTGGTACCCTACTTCAACCACGATACTGTGGTAGTGGAGAGTGGAATAAGAAATAATAATCTATTTTCTTAAATTGTAGTTTCAAAATTTAAATGAACATTTATATTTTGATCGAAAACAAAAATGAAATCGCTCATTGCTATGTACGATCGCCCATTGCTCCGTAATCCGAACGGCTGCCGAGCGCCTACTGTTACGAAAAAAAAAAGAAAATAAGAAGAAGCATATGTGCCTATATAAGCTCATGCAAAACAGAGAAACGAGGACCATCATTCTCTGCTTGATCGTCAAGCAGTATAGTTCGGACTTTGCTCGCTTTGTCGAGTTGTTCGATAAATCTATAGTTTGTTACAAACGTTTGCAGATATACTGCACGTCGCGTCGTCAGTAGTGTCGGTCGCATCGCGTGATGGGAAGACAGCGCTCTCGGAGCCGACTTCGTGAACAAGCGGAGAAGAAGAACAGTGGTGAGGGTAGCTCGGTACCTACCTCAAATAGGTACGCTACTCTGCCCACCGATGTTGGAAATACCAACCCAGTCCCTGTGAAGCGGACGAAAAAGAGGAAGAAGAACCAAGGTCTGTCCGATGGTACGAGCGGACGCGACGATGTTACCGCGACGAACGCCAGCGACATCGGTGATTTCGGCGACGCCGTCGAAACCGAGAATTCTGCCGGCCCGAGTGCGGCGAAAATCAAGCTTCCTCCACTGGTGGTGAAGGTAGTGCCACTCAAGACGCTCATTGGTGATTTCGCATCGCTGGGCATCGCAGCTGAGTACAAGATCAGCAGGATCGGCACTAAGGTGATGCTCCGGACGAAAGCGGAATACGAAATCGCAGTCAAATTTCTGAAGGATTCCAATGCGGAATACTTCACGCACGACATCCCCGGTGAAAAGCCCTTCAAGGTAGTCATCAGGGGTCTACCGGATGTTGATCCCAAGGCGATCGAAGAAGAACTCAAGGACCGGTACAAGCTGGCCCCAATCGCTGTCTTTCGGATGACGAGGCGAGACGAAAACGTGAAGACGTACCCGGATTGTCTTTTCCTGGTGCACTTCCAGAAGGGAACGGTGACGCTGAATGCGCTGCAGGCTATCCGCTCAATCTACTCCATAATCGTACGATGGGAGCCATACCGTGGAGGCCATCGCGATGTGACCCAGTGCCAACGATGTCTAAACTTTGGACACGGCACTCGCAACTGCAACATCAAGCCACGCTGTAGCAACTGCGCTCAAGAACACGCCACTTCCAACTGCCCTGCGGATGGAGCCGTGGCGTTAAAATGCGCCAACTGTGGTGGTGCTCATCAAGGTTCCGACAAACAGTGCTCCAAACGCGAGGACTTCAAACGCATCCGAAAACAGGCGGCAACTAACAACCAACCAGGACGCAAGAAGGACAAAGTCCCGGCATTTCGGACGGAGGATTTCCCGCCCCTTCGTACTCCTCAGCAAAGGCAAGTGAATTCACGGGTGCATTCCGCTCAAGCAACTTCCGGTGATTCTGCTGGCCAAAGCTCTCCATCCCCCCCTGGATTCTGGAGACAACCAACAGCGCAAAACAACAACCCCGATCTGTTCTCAGCGGATGAACTGATGGAAATCTTCGTCAACATGTCCGGTGCTCTTCGTAAGTGCCGCAATAAGCCCGAACAGATCCAAGTGCTCGGTAAGTTCATCATCCAGTATGGCGTCTAAACCGCTAAGTATCGTCACCTGGAATGCTTGCTCTGTAAGAGCAAAAGAGATTGAGCTTGCCGACTTCCTCCGCAAGCACAGCATCGACGTGGGCCTTCTAACCGAGACCCATCTAAAGTCCGGTGACAGCTTCTGGTTGCCTGACCACAACATTATCCGGCTTGATCGCACCAGCTCCAGGGGGGGTGGTGTTGCGGTCGTCGTCAAGAAAGGAATAAAATACCACACTCTGTCCCATATCCGCACCACTATCATCGAGGCCCTTGGTGTGGAGGTGGAGTCGTCGACTGGATACGTCCAGTTCATCGCCGTCTACTGCCCTCGACAGTGTGCCGCCAGCAGTGGACTAGCGGCTAAATTCAAGAAGGACCTGTCCACCATCACCCGTACCGGTTCCCGCTTCGTAGTTGGAGGAGATCTGAATGCTCGCCATGAGGCCTGGCGGAACTACCAGCAGAACCAGAACGGTCGTCTCCTGTTCGACCACTCACAGCATGGGCTGTACTCCGTTTGGTTTTCGGATGAGCCAACATTTATCTCACCGGCGGGCAACCCATCTACGCTAGACCTGTTCCTGACAAATATCGGCTTGTCCAAGCCGGTAGCCTTGAACGAACTCAGTTCCGACCACCAACCGGTGGTGTCTGAGCTGGGCTGCAACGTGGCTCCTGCTTCAAGCCTGCGCAAGGACTATCATCGCGTAAACTGGGCCCAGCTTGGACGCGTGGTAGACAGGCACATCATCGACAACCCGCCGCTTGACACCGTGGAGGACATCGACCGAGCGTTGGAGGGACTCCACCAAGCCATAACCGTGGCTGACGAGGCGTGCGTCCGACGAGTTCCTGTGAGGGGTAAGTTTATTGCTATTGATTCCCACACCCAACTCTTAATTCGCCTGAGAAATGTTCGTAGACGCCAGTTTCAGAGGACTGGAGATCAAGCGATGAAACGTGAAATGGCCGATCTGAACAAGGAGATTGCTTCCAGAATGGTCTCACTCCGGAACGAAAGCTTCGGGCGGCTTGTCCAGAATCTGGACGACCGCTCCAGACCATTCTGGAAAGTTGCCAAGGTCTTAAAGACGCACCCTAAACCCATTCCGCCACTAAAAGATGAAAATGATGACGATCGGCTCATAATCACCCCTCAGGAGAAAGCAAATGCGATTGGTGAGCATATTGCCAAATCGCACTTGCTTGGCTCCAACATCCAAAGTCCGCTCGAAGTTCAGGTTGAGCAATGCGTACTCAACTTTGATTCCTCCCCTTGTGCCATCCCTCCGGAGGATAGAATCACAGTGGAACAGATTTGCTCAGCGCTGAAATGCACCAAAAACATGAAGGCCCCCGGGTTTGACGGAATATTCAACCTAGTGTTGAAAAATCTCAGCATGAAGGTTCACTCTCTGCTGGCTGCTGTCTTCAACAGATGCTTGGAACTGCACTACTTTCCAAGCATCTGGAAGACAGCGAAAATCATACCTATCCGCAAACCCGGGAAGGACCCAACGCTAGCTTCAAGCTACAGACCAATCAGCCTCCTTTCAGCGCTGAGCAAATTGTTCGAGAAACTCATTCTCAATCGTTTGCTCAAGTTTGTCGAGGAAAATAACATTCTCCTTCCGGAACAGTTTGGGTTCAGAAAGGGGCACTCCACCAATCACCAGCTAGTGCGGGTGATGAATAACATCCGAAGTAACAAAGCTGTATCCAAGTCCACAGCCATGGCCTTGTTAGACGTTGAGAAAGCGTTTGATAATGTCTGGCACAATGGGCTTGTATACAAGCTCTGTAACTTCAACTTTCCATTACATCTGGTTAAAATCACCCGTAGCTACCTCCAGCAAAGGTCGTTTAAGGTATCGTTGAATGGTTGTCTTTCAGACACGTTTTCCATCCCTGCAGGAGTCCCGCAAGGCAGTCTGCTGGGCCCCTTGCTCTACAGCATTTACACTTCCGACATTCCTCCCCTTGGAGACGGTTGCGTGTTTTTCCTGTTCGCAGATGATACCGCAATAGCCGTCAAAGGAAGGATGCCTCGCGAAATAACGAACAAACTTCAACGATGCCTTAACGCCTTTGCTGATTATGCCACCACGTGGAAAATCAAAATCAATGCTTCCAAAACACAAACAATCATGTTCCTCCATCGACAATCACCCAAACTAAAACCGGCTCCCTCTTGTACTGTAATCATGGATGGCACAAGGGTTGAGTGGTCCGCCGAAGTTACCTATCTCGGGATGTTGTTTGACGAAAAGCTTCTATTCCGCTCGCATGTGGAGAAAACCGTAGTCAAGTGTTCCGCCTTGGTTAGGTGTCTGTATCCGCTGATTTGCCGCAGATCCCGCCTCTCAAGGGTGAACAAACTGGCCGTCTACAAACAAATCGTAGCACCTGCGATCCTCTACGCAGCTCCGGTGTGGGAATCATGTGCACAGACTCACAGGAACAAAATTCAGGTCGCTCAGAATAGAGTGCTGAGGATGGTTCTTGATCGTCCTTTTGACACTAGAATAACAAATTTACACGAAGAGGCAGGCATTGCCAAAATAGATTCCAAAATTAACGAAATTAAGACTAAATTTACACAAAAATGTAATTTATCAGAACATGCTTTGATAAGCAATTTGTATATAGTAGGTTAGGTGTACATAGTAGTTGTAGGTTAGTTGTAGTTGTAAATAGTAGTTATAAGTAGTCTCCCTTTTCCAATTCAAATCAAACCAATCCCACCAAGGTGGTCATACTTTAAAATAGGCCTGATAGGACTAGGAACTGTAAATAATAATTAAAATCTCAAATGTACCAAAGTTGAAAAGACGCATCTGTGTCACTTAACAAATTCATACATGTAAACCACACAATCACAAGAAATAAAGATCATTTAAATGGGCAAATGGAGAAACGAGGAGAATTACGGCAGACTTGGAAGCGGCAGCACCAAGAACCAGCAGCAGATACAGCAGCAAATATCAAATACAGCAGCAGATAGCAAATACAGCAGCGGGCCTCCATCACGAGCCCATCCAGCAACAACGACAGTGAATCAAATCCGGGTCGAGGCTACTCAACAGTAGCGCCCATCCAGCAACAACAACATCCGGGCCGAGGCTACTAACCAGTAGCGCCCATCCAGGAACAACAACATCCGGGCCGAGGCTACTCAACAGTAGTGCCCAGCCAGCAACCACAGCTTCTGTGGCATCCACAGTGAGGGCTTTTGAAGAGTTTCCCTCACTGCGGCTTCGAAGATCTAATCATCAGTCGCAGGGTGATACCCTGACCGGGACTGCTCGACAGTAGCGCCCATCAATCAAGCCAGTATCAAACCCTCCATATGGAGGAAGAAATAATGGACGGTCGCGACAGATACCATCGAACAGCATTCGGTTACAACAAACCACTAACAACTATGATGCGTACGTTCACGGCTGTTGAAGAATAGTTTGAATTTGGGGAACCTTCTGCTCGCTTTTTGATTCGTATTAGAAACGCATGATTGGTATAGTTTTTAAGATATTTCTAGACTAACATTTGAAAAGGGCGTAATTCCAAAATGACCATATCGAGAAAATCGCTTCTGAATTTTGATGACCTAAAAATTAATCCTATTTCACGACTTTCCATTTTCTGGATGATTTTATAAGCTTGATATATAGTTAATAGTGTAATCTATCATCATGCATCACTAAAAACTAAAAAAAAGTTTTCTTTGTCGTGAAATCGAGAAGAAAACATCATACGCCCTGATAATTTCATACATGTTGTTACCCCCCAGATCTTCCACACTTTGAACTGCCAACACTGGTGATACGCCGTGGAAGTACACCATCGGGATTTTTTGTTTGTTGTTCCGCCTTGGTTCTTCGTTCGCAAATTTTGTGAGAGTGGAATTACGCCCGGAGATTTTTTGGTCTTCTTTTTGTTCGTTGTTTACACGTGAACTATCAATCGGATGCATTTCAAATGAATCGGGCGTGACTAGATACTACAGACTCAATACGTTTAGCATATTAAAACGATATAATTCGTAGTTCTGGTGCAAGGCGTAACAACCAGATGCATCATAGAGTTGAAAGTTGAAAATACGCCACGTAAGAAGAAACGTTTTTGATGATTTGAAGTTATATTTTCTTCTACATTTTCGTGTTTATCGAGTAGTTTGTGAACTATTCCCTCTATATGTGGCAAAATATGGTTTGTTTACATTTTGGCTCTTACGCCCCTTTCAAATGTTAGTCTAGATTTCATGTAGACAACATTAAACAAATAAATATATTTTTATACGATAGATGAGAAGGAGATGAAGGTATAGAATTGATAGTTTCGTTTAGAGTACGGCAGTGTGAAAATTGCATATAGAGAGTAGACAGCGAGCTAGACAACTTTTAAGGAAGGTACAAATCGGTTTTATCATCTCTTTTTACCAAACTCCCCCTTTGGAGAGGCATGGTGAGGGGTGTTAGTTTTAAATTTTAAACATTTTTCCTTTTCCTTCAAACCTTTTTAATCTTTTTGTATTTTATTATGCAAGCTCATTTATTTATCTACAAATCATTTTATGGCAACATTTTTGTAGGACTTGACATTATTGAGCTATAGTTTTTTGAAAAAAGGATTAATAATAAAAAAAAGTGCCGCCCTTTTTAAATGTTGGTCCAGCGTTTAAAAAAAATAAGTATGCAAAGTTCCTTAAGTAGACGAAATCTACACACCCACAAAGTTTCATTGAAATCTGAGAGGGTGCTGCCAATTCCTTTGTCGAGTTAGCGTGAAATTCGTCTAAATCCAATTGATTTTTCAGCTAACACATCGTAAAATACACTCTTAGAAATAACTAATTTTACACGAGGTGGAATCCATCTTTGACAAAAAAGATAAAACGTGAACAAACATGTCATTTAATATTAAGTGTTCCGAGACTGTAAAGTACGTTGCTCCACGAAAAGTACGTTTGATTCAGCTATATTTCGCGTCTGTTGTGACGTAAATTTATGTCAAAATTGACGCTCGTATATGTCACCCTCAGAGCACCTAAATTTACATGAATTTTTCCAAGTTTGTTGATAGTTTAATGCTATGAATCTCCCTATCAAATTTCAATACTTACGCACTGTAAAGCCACACTCAAGGTGTACTTGAAAGCGCTCTCGAAGGCGGTGCGGAAATTTATAATTTTGATAGGAATATTAATAGTGCTAAACTATCTATCTTAAAATGGGTTAACCGAGTTTTACGCAATCCTGTATTAAAAAGTATTGAAAAAGTCCTAAAAGAGCGATTCATCGCTTCTCACAATTATGCAAAGTTTTATGCAAATCGGAGAAGGTCGAATTTTCCCGATTCGTTATGCTTCTTATCCAGGAATTTAAAAAAAATTAGATACCTGTTCATTTTGTCGGCTCCAAGGATTTGTTTTGCTTAATTCATTTTTTGTTAGTTAATAACAGTAACTGCACATGTTCCTCAGTGACAATTTACACGAAGATCATTTTTAGTTCGAATGAGTTTTGTCAATATCACAGTGTATGGTCAAGCACTGCTTCAAAAAAAAAAA